CTACTGAAAACGCCCTTCTTGGGATAAGCTCATCACTGCTAAATTCACCCCTGTGCTGCCAACTCGAGCCTTGATTGACTTCACCTCCCTCAGCCTCCTCTCCCCTGTGTGGAGGCCAGAATACCAAACTCCTCCCAATGCTTTCCTTTTTTGAGGGAAGAAACTGGACTTTCAGATCACTCCGCTTTGCATCTGCTGCCCTACCTTGTTTCAGCTCCACAGAACCAGGTACCTAAGACATCCTGTTCCTCCCACCACTTTCCTGACTCCTTGTGTGTGTGTCTTTCCCTTTGTAGATTGTAAGCTCACTGAGGGCAGAGACTGAGTTTCTTTTTATTAATTGTATCCTCAGTATTAGTATAGTAGCTGGCACATCATAGGGGCTCAATAAATGTTTATTGAATTGGACTGGGGAGCAACTATGGCTGGAGATATAGATGGTAGAGATAGATAGATAAACATAGAGCCACAAATATACACATTTCTGTATATATGTATATCTATATACATGCATGCATACATATACATACACATATGTGGATCTGGGTATATCTGGGGCTCATCTCTCATCTTCAGAGAGATGATAGTTAAATCTCAAGTTAATGAGGCAAAGGAGTGTAGAGAGAGAATAGATGCAGGTTAAAATAATAACCTTGAGGCCTCTAACTATAGGGGCTATGGATATGATATGATATAGGGGATATGGATACGAGCCAGCAGAGGAGACTTACTTAGAAGTGGTCAGACCAGAGAGTGACATCATAAAAATCTACGTGTAAGAGATGACACTTGAACTGAGCCCTGAAGGAAGAAAGAAAATCCAAGAAGAGGCAAATTCAGACCATTTCCAGGAGAGAGTGAAAGCCCATGTAAAGACCCAGAATCAAGATGCTACTAGTGAACTGAAAACTCACCATCACCAGAGCTCACTGCCAAACGTTTAGAAGTTTGCATCAAATACATCATTTCCTCCAAAGCAAACATTTATCCACCTCCATACCCTTTAGGAGCATACTGGAAGCATTAGAGATAGTTTGTTTTTTCAGTCATTTCAGGTTCTTTGTGACTACATTTGGGGTTTTCTTGGCAAAGATACTGGAATGGTTTGTCATTTCTTTCTCTAGCTCATTTTACAGATGAGGAAACTGAGGCAAACAGGATTAAGTGACTTGCCCAGGGTCATACAGTTAGTGTCTAAAGCCATATTGGAACCCAGGTCCTCCTGACTCCTAGAGTTCTATCCACTGTATCACCTAGGTGCCTTAGAGATAGTTACTTCCATGGAAAAGAAGGAATCTTATTTTTTTATGCAAATGTCATCATGTGGGTGCAACTTCTTAAAGCGTTAGTACGATACTAGTAACTGAAACGTAAGTGTAAGTGGAGGTCCTCACGTGACATGACACAGAGATTGGATGATTTTCTGATAAGTAAGAATAGTAAATATATCAAAGTGAATGATTAAGACCCAAAAATGGATTTTATGGGTTGAATCATCCATTTTGGCTTTTTAGATTGAACAACTTATCCAGATAATGTTATCAGCTTTTACAGAGTAAAGATATAGCCCATGATTTATTTCAAATCTGGATGAATATAGGAATTATTTCCTCTGGTTGGAAATCCTGAAAATTCAGTCAGATTTACAAGCCAAAAGGATGGAATTGAGCATTATTTGTAGCTCTGCCTCACATAACCTAATTGTTTTTCCAGGGCCTCTGTCTATCATCCTAAATAGTACAACACGATGAATTGCAGGATGGATCCCATTCATGGCATTAACCCTTGGAGTGCTGTAAGGACCTTATTCTAATTTTGCTTCACCTATAACACAGTCCCTGTTGTATAGGTCCTGAGGTCTGCACCAATATCAGTCGAGGAAAACAGCTGAAAAAAATTCAATATCTGCTTTCTTTGTGAAGGTGGGGAACTTAGGGTATGGAACATTAAGCATACTGTCAGAGCTGGTTGATACTCGAGAAGTTTTATTGAACTGTTTTTCCCCATTCTTCAGTTTTATTCTTTGTTAATACCTCTCTGATAGGGTAAGAGGGAAATGATGTATTGGAAAATAAAAGTGATAGGGCAGCTAGGTGGCACAGTGGATAGAGTACCAGGCCCGGAGTCAGGAAGACCAGAGTTTAACTCCAGCCTGAGACACTTACTAGCTGTATGACCTTAGGCAAGTCACTTAACCCTGTTTACCTCAATTTCTTCATCTGTAAAATGAGCTGGAGAAAGAAATGGCAAACCATTCTAGTATCTTTGCCAAGAAAATCCCAAATGGAGTCACGAAGAGTTGGACGCAACTAAAATGACTCAACAAAAACAGCAATGAAAACAAAAGTTAACAGTGTTCTTTTAAAGTAAGAAATTCTCTGTATTAATTTGATATGTTATAAAATACAGAACTCATCAATGGTGTATTAAGAGGTAGGGCTATATAAAAGAAAGAGCATTGGGTGTCACTAGGCATAAAAAGGCCTGAGCTCAAGTCTCATTTTCCTCAACTATATGACTTTGGGAGTGATTTCTCTTTAATCCCTCTCAGCTGCCATTTCCTTATTATAATACTGATAATACCTTTACTATCTATTCAGAAGGTTGCTATGAATAGCAAATGAGATGTCTATATGTGGAAAGACTTTGGAACCACAGAGCACTAGATAAGTATAAGCTATTATTATTGTCAAATGTTCCAGGGTGTTTTCCACCTAGATCCCTGAGACTGTTCCTGTGCCTTGTCCTTAATGGGGGCTGGGGCAGCCCATGACTGACCAAGGTTCATTGTGCGGATGGAAACCACCCTTGCTTGAGGAATAAGAAGAGTCATACCAGACAAATATCAGCATAGATGGAGGTCAGAAACACAGAGCGTCAAGCTAATATTTGGATCTAGAGAGACTAGTTACTCATACGGAAAAACCAGAAAAGGGCTTAAAACCAGGGGTTTGCTACAAGGTCATAGAAGTGCGGCTGGGAAGAGGGAAAGGAAAAGTTCAGGTTCTGGCCTGAAATGTCTGAGTACTGGGGAAGGGGTCAATGTAGACATGGGTTCAGTTGGTTGCACTGAAGGAAGGGCTTTGTGAATACCTGAGAACCTTAAGCCTGCCTTCAGTTTTTGCCAAATCTGCTTTGCATCCTGCTGCTGCCTCCAGGGAATCCATAGGCCAGCTGACATGTGGAGGATGTGAGCAGTGACATTTACTTGATGCTCTTTGGAGGAAGGGCACCATTCCACATTGCAAATCATTACAATCGTCACTGAGCTCATTCTTCTGTTTTCCTTTGAACTGTGACCTTTGTGTCAAATACGAGTGTGCTTTTCCACTTTAAGGAAACAATGTACAAAACCCTCTAACTAAGGAATAATTGCTTTGAATAGTGACCTCCCCTAGGGAATTTTAAAATAGGGTTTAACTTACAGAAATCCATTTTATACACAACTTTTCAGGAATGTATTTGTATTTATAACTGTATTTATTTGTATCTCTAGGACATAGCATAGTGCCTGGCGTATAGTAGGTTCTTAATAACTGCTTGTTGGTTGACTGATTGAATGAATGCATTTACTACATAGAACAAAGTATATCCATAACAGGTTTGACCACTTATTATTTTTCTTCACTTTTTCAAGTGAAGAACTCCACCTAAATCACCTTCCATTCACTTTAAAAGGAAGTGTCCCCAGTGTTTAAGGACAGAGCTCCATTAATGTAATTTCTTCAGCTCCTGTTAAGTAAAAATAAATAGGTGGTTCAATTTTACATTTGTGCCATGATATGAATATTAAAAGGGTACATTTGTTAAAAATCCATGGGAGAAAAATTGAAAACAAACTTGATAATAAATCTGCCATTGTCAGACTTGGTAACTTAAAATACAACCTTGAAATACTTCCTGGGGTTCAGAAGATGCTAACAAGGGTTACTACTCCAATCATTAGGAACATCCCTGAGAGTTAAACGGGAAATACTGTGTTTGTTTATTTGAGTTGTGTTAGCAGAATTAGATCAACCAGGAAACCCATTAATAGCTAAGAGACCAGCTTATACTGATGTGCCTTTCTCTCCCTCCAAAAGTACTGTATTTTAATAGTTTACTCAAGTTGACTCAAAATGTCCTGAAGCACAATGAAAAAATGAAAATACTTTTCCCTTTCTTAGATTACTCTAGAGCCCTTTTGGAGGGGGAAGGGGACATTAAGGATGGGTGTTCTATAGGTTGTTGTCTATGTGTCTCATAAGAATCAGATCTCATCTCAAAGTTGCAATGGAAAGGACACTAGATTCCATGAAATCAATTATTTGTAAAGGAAATGGACCATGGCTTAATTTGACAAGTTATTTTCTCTTTGGAGATTTTAAGCATGCTCTCGTAGGAGGATTCCACAACCAGGTCTTTTACAAAGTAGCTTCTTAGTGTTACGGTTCAATCGACCTTTTCCTCCTCTTATTTCCACCACCTCTAAAGAATGCAGAGATCAATTATAGTTTTCAAAGCATTTAACTAATACTAGCACGGGCACTGTTTTCCACCAACTACAACCCTCTAAAAGCTTTACTTTTTCTCTGCCCAGCAGAGTGTGTGCTCCAGATGGCTTTCAACTCTCTCTCTCTGATGAACTGCAAATTATCTTAAAGCAGCATCTTCCAGATTGGCCTCATTGTTTCATGCCCTGATAGCCTACCAAGGGAAGCTGCCCCTCTGTGTTGGACTGAAGCTGACCACTAACCAGGAGATTCCATTCCTGAATGCTCAGATAGGAGCTTAGGAAAGATGAGGGCAGAAGACCTGCAAAGAAGTTAACACCTAACCCTTTTCTTAAAGATAACTTCTCTTAAAGCTACTATACTATGGAGTGTTCTCCGAACATCTATTACAATGGAACAAATTGGTTGTTAAGGACATTTGTAGAAAGTACTTTTTTGGGGCCTAAAAATACTCAAAGATTTTTCGTGACACCTGGGATGGCTCAAAAATGTGTTCTCTTATTCTAGGTTCAGAAAACTGTGTCGAACAGAAGCTGAGAACACCTCGCAGAAGATGTCAGCAGCCCAAAATGCTGAATAGCCCTGAGGATAACATGTACTATAACCAGTTAAACGTGAGTTCAAAGTGGCCATAAAGCGTTTTACTGGCTTTGTTTCCAGTTAATAATTCTGTTATTAATACCTGTTCCAGCCCCTCCAGCCCCACCCCCATGCTCTTCTCCTCTCCTCCTGAACATGTGCTTATGCTCTTTATCTGTTGCTTTCATGTCAGGATGTCTGCCTTCACGGTGAATAATTGATGCGGTTTATCAAAGACGAGCAAGATGCATGCTTCATCAGGCTCACTTGAGCCCTTTGATCAAAAAAATTATGCTGTGACTTCTGATATTATCAGCATCTGCTTGCATTCAACACAAAATCACTTTGAATTAAAAATTAACGACTTGCTGCTTTGCTTTGACTGTGTGTTCTTGGCCCTCTCCACAGGGAACTCTAGAATATCAAGGGAGCAAGAGGAAGCCAAGAAAATTTGGGTAAATATCTGTCTTCTTAGTTCTAAGCAACTGTAAACAGAAGGAGTCCTTTGTGATATTACAGAAAATGCAAAACTTTCTAGAGAGATTTCTAAAAATAAGCAATTAGAATACTCAGCCATTATTAACACTGGGAACTTAAAAAAAAATAGCAAGTATACAACTTGTATCTACTAGTATCTAAGAAGGCTCTCCAATGAGGGGGTTGGATTAGACAGTCTTTAAGGTACCTTTTGGAAGCAACATTCTAGTACTCTGGGAGTCGGTGAAATTGGCTCCTACTGGCAAATGTTCTTTTCCATTCTTTCCCATAGGTACTCCCGAGAATTTTAGTTTCCCTTTAGTGTGGGAGAGATAGGAGGTTGTAGCCTTTTATCTACAAATTATATGTAGCATGCACATATTCACACACACACACACACACACACACACACACACGTACTCTGCAAGTATGACAACTTTTACAGAATAACCCATGGATCAGAATTCTATCTTTACCTGCAAAAATCATCCCCAAAGGTCAAAGGGGAATTTAGGCTTCTGATTCTTGGATAGTAGGGTGAAGAGACAAAAAAGAAGAACTCATCAGGGCTCTTACTCAGGCTCTTAGAGAAAGCACTTGCCTCTCCAAGGAACCAGAGACAGACAATTTGTTTCCCATAAATCAGCAGTCCCAATACGATAACAACTTCCAGCCACAGCTCTCTTTGCCTCATTATAGGTGTGTGACCCAGAAGTGAAAGGTGTAGCATACAGTCATTAATCTCCCTAGCCATACAGGTTCCCTAGAAAGTGATTTAAAGAGAGAGAGAAACCCTCTACCCTTAAAGCAATGATGCTTCCATATGATTCCAGCCCTGTCCTATTCAGACTGTTTGTATAACATTAGTAACACTACTGATGGTACTGAAAGCATCAGGAATGCTTTCGCTCTGTTTTCTTTTCCCCACAAAATTAATTCTCTTTCCTTGTCATAGCCAAATCAAAGTGCTTGATGGGGGAGATGAATATTACAAATCGCTGTCTGCTGTGGATTCCATCCCTGAAGAAGATGGCTCCGTCCACTGTTCACCGCTTTCCTCATCTTCTGGAGGACAGCCTTTGGCTAAAAGCTGAGCTGTGCTACCTGCCCCTCAATCTGCTGCTGCTGGTAAGAACAATCATTATTAAATCCCTGAAGCAGCCTTTAACCTGAAGGCACTGAAATCATGCCGGGGAGTCTGTCTCCCCCTTGTTAAGTGACCCACCTTAACAAACAGACACTGTTGTTTCTAGTACAAACCACCGTAGTTCTGGTACAAACCATTATTTCAGGCTTGACTCAGCAATTTGATGCCACGTGGCAAAAAAAGAATGACTTCTCACTGAATATTGGAATAACCCCTTAGCAGAAAAAAAAAATTAAACACACACACAATGTATGGCATTACATCATGTCCTGTTTGAGCAGAAACATCTGAAAACACGAGTTTGATTTTCAAAACCACCCAAAAAGAGAGCGGGGAGACGGATGTTAAAGTTACTAGGAAGACTGGGTCTGGCTTTCCAAAACGTGCTCCTTAAAAGTGGTATTTTGACATCCTCCAGCTCAAAGCTAAGAATCTTGCTCACAATGCTGCTGGCTCCTACCACTGCTCTGCACATTCAGTGTTTGCTCTCTAATTGATGGACTCCTTTCTCTGTGAGTAAAAATGAGTTAAGCTGGAAAGACCAAATCAATTGCAGTAACAGAGGAGCACTAGAGGGAATCATTTAACTGACCACATCATTATGCATTGTAAGCATTAATACAGGTTTGGAGGTACACATGAAGCAAATGTGTAATGGGGGAGGAGGGAATAAGGTGTTTATTTTATTAGGCATTGAGATGCTTACAGAGTAATAGATGGCTGACTGTCACCAATAGGGAGCAATAATAGCTCTCCATTTGTATTGCAAAATTCAGAAATGGTTTATATAGTCATGATTAGAATTTTTTTAATTCAGTATATTTCAGTGGGAAAGTATCATCTCCCACTCATTCATCATGCAGTTTTTTTCACATTTCATAGCCAGAAAGAACTTGTATTGTCTGAAATAGTTACAGAGTCATGTACAACCTTCTCTATTCTTATCTGGATTTGGACTGACACCCTTCTCTTCCCTCCTCTTCTCTTCTCTTCTCTTCTCTTCTCTTCTCTTCTCTTCTCTTCTCTTCTCTTCTCTTCTCTTCTCTTCTCTTCTCTTCTCTTCTCTTCTCTTCTCTTCTCTTCTCTTCTCTTCTCTTCTCTTCTCTTCCCTTCCCTTCCCTTCCCTTTATTTCATCTTCTTCTTCTCTTTCTTTCTTTCTTTCTTTCTTTCTTTCTTTCTTTCTTTCTTTCTTTCTTTCTTTCTTCTCTTTCTTTCTTTCTTTCTTTCTTTCTTTCTTTCTTTCTTTCTCTTCTCTCTCTCTCTCTCTCTCTCTCTCTCTCTCTCCTCTCTCTCTCTCTCTCTCCACTTTTCCTTTAAAAAGTGGTTTTTGCTTAAATTGACTAATCACACTACCTACTCTTTAATGGCCACTAACTGGTTATAAATCAATTTGAGTTACAAACTAAACTGAATGGCAAGTTAGAAAAGGCGGTGTGGTGGAAAAAAAATCCATCAGACATGATTTCAGAGGAGTTAACAGTGACACTTATATGCCTCCTGATTCTCACTCAGCAACATCTGATGAACTATAGGTATGGAATGAGGAAGACATTATCAAAAATGGTCAGTGTGTGGACAGGTGGTGCAGTAGATAGAGCCTCGGAGTCAGGAGGACCTGAGTTCAAATCCAGCCTCAGACACTTGCCACTTACTAGCTGTGTGACCTTGGGCAAGTCACTTAACCCCGATTGCCTTATCAAAAAAAAAAAATGGTCAGCGTGTTGATTTGCTTCACTTACCTGTTTTTTGTTGTTCTGTTTAGTGGGGGATAATCAGAGATAGGGAAGGAGTGGGAAAGAGTGATGTTGATATAAAAAAAGAACATTGATACTAAAAGGAAAAATGAAAGAGAATTAGGTTTAGAAGTAGGTTTTAGAAGTGGATTTAAACATTGGAGGTTAAGTCCTGACTGTCACTGACAAAGTATGTGACCAAGTCCCTTGATCTCTCTGACTACAATTTCCTTACTGAGAGGCAGAGTGTCTGGCACATAGCAGGCGCTTAATAAATGTTTTATCACTATTGACTGCCTGACCAACTGACTTCTCTGTAGAATAGGGGAAATAATCTTTGAACTATCTACCTTACGGGGTTGTTGTGCAAAAGTGCTCAATAAATGTGTGTTCATTGTCACAATATTATATATACAAACGAGTATGACTGGTGTAACAATGTGACCAGAACCACCAGTTTTTCAACCAGTCAAGACTGTAGTACCCATTTGTGTATTTAGACATAGCATCTCAGCACCCATCCCCATGCCCCAGTTTGTTTACACAATTATCTCACTATTGGGCATTATATGAGTTTGTTCTTATCATTGTCATTCAGTCATTTCAGTCACATCCAAATGTTCATGACCCAGTTTGGGTTTTTTTTTTCTTTTAAATAATATTTTATTTTTCCCCAGTTACATGTAAAAGCAATTTTTAACATTCATTTTTTAAAATTTTGAGTTCCAAATTTTCTCTCTCCCTTCTTCACCTCCCCCTCCCTGAGACAACAATTTGATATAGGTTATAAATGTACAATCATGTAAAACATATTACCATGTTAGTCAGGCCCAAAGGGGTAAAAAAATACAAAAAAAAATACAGAAAGTGAAAAATAGTATGCTTCAATCTGCGTTCAGACTCCATCAGTTCTTTCTCTGGAAGTGGATAGCATTTTTTATCATAAGTCCTTTGGAATTGTCATGGATCATTGTACTGCTGAGAATAGCCAAATCATTCACAGTTGATCATAGTATAATATTGCTGTTACTATGTACAACATTCTTCTGGTTCTGCTCAATTCACTTTGCATCAGTTCATATAAGTCTTTCCATGTTTTTCTGAAATCAGCTTCCTCATCATTTTTTATAGCACAGTAATATTCTGTTACAATCATATAGCACAATTTGTTCAGCTATTCCTCAATTGATGAGCATCCCCTCAATTTCCAATTCTTTGTCACTATAAAAAGAGCTGATATAAATATTTTTGTACATATAGGTCCTTCCCCCCCCCCCACTTTTTAAATCTCTTTGGGATACAGACCTAGTAATGGTTTTGCTGGATCAAAGGGTGTGCACAATTTTATAGCACTTTGGGCAAAGTTCCAAATTGCTCTCCAGAATGGTTGGATCAGTTCACAACTCCACCAATAGTGTATTAATATACATTTAGGGTCTTCTTGACGAAGATACTGAAGTGGTTTGTCATTTTCTTCTCCAGATAATTTTACAGATGAAGAAACTGCAGAAACAGGGCTAAGTGACCTGCCCAGAGTCACCCAGCTAGTAAGTGTCTGAGGCTGGATTTGAACTCATGAAGATGAGTTCCTGACTTCAGGTCTGGCACTGTATCTGCTGCACCACTTAGCTGCCCCATTAGTTAGTTAACAAGCATTTATTTTAAATGCCTGCTGTGTGCTAAACCCTGGCACATGGAGTTGGAAGCATAGAATTTAGAGCTAGTATAGGGATGTTAGAGTTTCATGAGTGCAACCTATCAACTTATAGATGGATAGAGACGCAAGTTTGTGGCCTGGGCAAGTGTCACAAACCATACCTTGTGCAAGCAGTATGGAAGGTACCCACAAATCTGTCTAACATTTTAGACAAATTAATTTTGGAGGACGTAAGTAGCCTAGGGAGAAACCTCAAGACAGAAGACCTGTAGAAGAGGACAGATCCCAGGGACATTGGCCCCTATGGATGGAGACCCTGCAGCTGCTGGAGAGGTCATCTCAAGGGGCAGAAGCCCAGCAAGGCTGGGTTGTAGACCCACCACCTGGTAGCTTCCTATTTTAGTCAATTATTCTACACAACTAGTTGCTAAGATCCCTTGTTTCTACCTACTAAAGGAGTAAAAATGTCATAAGTGTCCTCTAAATTTAGGTACCTTGAGACAAAGCCCTGATTGCTCCACCCTAATTATGTCTGGGCTGATGAGGAAATTGAAGCCCAGAGATGACTTCTACATAGGCAATACATTGGCAGTCATGTAGGCAGTAAATAATAGTGCCGGGATCGGACTTCGTTTCAATGGATACTTATCAAGCGTTTCCTATGGACAAGGCACTCTGTTATTTGTAGGGGTGCAAAACCAAAATGAAACCATCCCTGCCCTCAAGGAGCTTATATTCTACTTAGAGGATATAATATGCATATGGTGGTGGTGTTTTTGTTATTGTTGTTGAGTCACCTCTGACTCTTCATTAGTCCATTTGGGGTTTTCTTTGCAAAGATACTGGAATGGCTTACCATTGCCTTCTCTAGTTCATTTTACAGATGAGGAAACTGAGGCAACCAGGGTTAAGTGATTTGCCAGGGTTACACAGCTAGTAAATATCTGAGGCTGGATTTAAGGATCTAAATCCATAAGAGAACAAAGCTATCAAAGGAAGGCTTAGACAATGGGCTTCAGCATTTGAGAATAGAGCTCACACTAATTCCAGGAAGGATCAGGGATGGCTCCATGGACATAGTAGCACTGAGCTGATCATTAAAGGGAGGAGAGAAGGTTTCTCTAAGGCTAAGATGAAGAGGCAGTACATGCCTAGCCTAGAAGGCCTGCCTGTGGGGGTTCTAGAAGCAGGGGATGGCATGTCTACCTTGGGGAATAGCTAGTAGACTGAATATGGCAGTTAGACTGAAATATGGGGTGTGTAAAGTGAAATAATGTGGGGAACAAAGCTAGAAAGGGAAGGCCAGATTGTGAAGAGGTTCAAATAGTAGGATAAGGATAGTTCAGGGGGGCAGCTAGGTGGTGCAGTGGATAGAGCACTGGCCCTGGATTCAGGAGGACCTGAGTTCAAATCCAGCCTCAGACACATAACGCTTACTACCTGTGTGACCTCATTGCCTAGCCAAAAAAAAAAAGAATAGGATAGGATAGTTTATCCTTAGGATATCCTAAGATAAGGAAAGTTTATCCTAGAAATAATAAGGAGACCTTGAAGGTTGTTTGCGTTTGTTTTTGGTTTTGTTTTTTAGCA